AATAGGCCATTTTACAGTTGTGTACTTAGTTGCCAAGCCTTTGATTCAGAGTGAGGCTAAAGATGACCTTGTTGTGATAGAGACCTGTATCTAGTTAGCATGATAACAAAGTGATTTACATTTGAAAGGCAGCAAGGTTTGTATCATAACAAGGTCATCTCTAGCCTCACTCCCATTCAAAGGCTTGGCAACCAAGCACACAACTGTAAAATGGACTAGTGTACCTCACCAGCGAGGATCACTTGCATACCATAGCTTTCTTTTTCACTACTAAGTTTACCATATTGATATCATGGTAATGGTTTATCAATTGAAAGTTGATTTGCCAAGATACTTTTTTATACGACCTTTTTTGAACTTGTAGGCAGAGTATGAAGATTGTATAGCTGCAATAGAGAGAGGTCAGAGAGAAGCAATGCACTTGTCAGGAAAGTTAGCAGCAACTTTTATGGAACATCAGACATTTAGGTAACAGGAACGGCATCAGTCAACATTAACTGGATGTCAAGAATAATGAAAAAAAAAAAAAAACGTTTATCTGTTGTTTCTATGTAAACATTGTTGTTTTTTCCCCTTGACTCCGTTTGTAACGGTCTCTGTTTAGTAAAAGTGAATTATTTCTCTCCTCAGGAACATTAAGGCCCGTGCAGATGAACTAAATCTGAAAGTTGCATTGCTTAGAATGCAGAATCACAGGTTTGTGGAACTATGAATGTCCTTTGAAACTTCAATGAAAACTGATACACTCGGTAAATACGATTAGGATGTATGACTAGTTTGACGTAGCAAATTTAAGCCCACAGAAGAAGCAATTTCTTAGTTCTTGCTCTTAGCAGCGAAGAACCAAACAAAAAAACGTGCGTATTTTTTCCTCTTTTTTACCTCCGTTCGACGGAACAAAAGAAAAAAACACAAAAAACGAGGCCTGCCGTGGAGGCTATGTTATTGATAATCAAGATGGCATTAAATAGTATCCTCTCAGCGAAAATATGGAAAACCTTGTCTTAAAAAACGAACTTTCTTCCTGCTAAAAATTTCACCAGTAGGTCCGTATTTACCGTGTCTGGCGGGGCGATATCACCCCAATGGCAATGTTGTTTATGTAGTGTCGAGTTCAAATGAAATAATGAAAATTTCTATCGAGGTTTTCTCTCTAAAAAGACGGAAATGTTGGTATTTTCACTTTGTTGTTTTGCATAGGAAGGCTGTGAAACGAAACGCTCGTGCTGCGTTATTATGTTGCTCATTAGATCTTTTGTTTCGGACGTTCTCGTTGCCGTCGCCGTCGCGGTTTTCTTTAAGTCCGTAATCTCACATGAGTCTTTTATTTATATGCATAAGTTCATCAATTGAAAGTTTCTGTTGTGAAATAATTTTTCAAACTAAGTTAACTTCAACTGGTACTTAAAACATGAAGCAAGATGATTAAGGGGTGCAATTGGCCATTCTGATTTAAAACTGCGATAGAGCCGTTTTTTTTCTTTAGTTTTCTGCCTTTGATTGTGTTTGTTTTACCTCCTTGTTTTTTCCTTTTTTTCCTTTTTTTTTTTTTTGGTTGTCGTTGTTTTTTCTCCTAAAGGGGATGTCGCACAACCAATTAATCCAATCAATCTCAACGAAATCACTCAGATGAGGGAAGGTTAACTCCTCCCCAGTTTAATTTTTTTTTTCCTTTCTTATTATTTGTTAATTCATTCCTCTATTTTCCTTATTTGATTACTATTATAATTATTATTAGTAGTAATAAAATTATTGAGTTTTTTTTTTTTCGTAACTTTTTTCAAATTTCTTTGAAGCGAAAATTTTAGAGTCTTGCTGAAATGTTTTCTTTTATTCGTATTCGCCAGATTGTCATCCAGACAGATCAGGTCACCCAACGATCGGTATTCATTCAGCTGTATGTCTACAGGTGGTTCTGATGAAGTACAGTCTAGAATATGCAGTACAAAAGCATTTCATACATATGGTGAACGATCTTCGCAGTAGATAGCGCTATTTAAGAAATAGCGAAAATCAGACCTGAAAAAAATCAGGCCTGTACGGGATTCGAACCACTGGCCTCTGCGATACTAGTGCAGCGCTCTACCAATTGAGCTAACAAGCCAACTGGGAGCAGGCCGTTAAGTTGATTCGTAATAAACCCGTGATGATAAATCAGATACAATGAATATATGAAGTTCATATATTTTGAACTGCGGTATTAAATACGTATGATGCACGATCCTTCGCAGTAGATAGCGCTATTTATGCAATAGCGAAAATCAGACCTGAAAAAAATCAGGCCTGTACGGGATTCGAACCACTGACCTCTGCGATACTAGTGCAGCGCTCTACCAATTGAGCTAACAAGCCAACTGGGAGCAGGCCGTTAAGTTGATTCGTAATAAACCCGTGATGATAAATCAGATACAATGAATATATGAAGTTCATATATTTTGAACTGCGGTATTA